CCGCATTTTAATTTTGCAAAGGTAAACTCATGTTGAAGGAAGAACATAATTAATATACGCAGTCAAAAGAAAATAATTAGTAAACTCATGGTAAACGCAGTCAAAAGTAATCGACGCGTGCTTATTAGTGCATCATAATTTTTTCCTTTGACCGATGTTTATTTTTCCCATTGTGTTTTTTGTGCATTGGCAAGGTTTTAGCAAGTTAAAAAAATTTAGTCTTATCGCCTTATACTTGGCACACAAGGGAGAATGAAAGGAAATATATTCCTCTATTGTGTGCATTCGATATGGTGATTGACGTAAAAGTATTGAAATGCATAGACTTTCCAAATATCCTTGATTAATGTAAATATTAAGGATAGATGTAGACATGAGGGGGGAGTCTCCCCACATACACTACGTTACGATCTTTTCCTTTAACCAAGTTTTATTTTTCCCACCGGATTTTGTTACTTGGCAAGGTTTTTAATGAGGTAACAACACATATAAACTTTAATGATCAAAGCAAGGATCAAATAAAGATGGACTTAATGGAAGAAGCCTATCTTGATGTTATAATATTTTTCTCCAATCAAGGTTACTTTTTCCCACAGGGGTTTTGTTACTTGACAGAGTTTTGAAGAGGCAACAAGACGCATACAACATTCTATCTATAACTCAGCACAAAGGGGAGTGTTGAAGGAAATTCTATGTTGTGTGCTACCGTTTAGATAGAATATGTATTTAGGTCTTTCTGTGTATAGTATGTATTATGGGCCTATTGGCCCGTACTTGTAAACCCTACTCTCTCCCTATTTATAGAGCCATTCGGTAATGAAACTTTACGAACAATTCTTCCTACAACAGTAAACTTATTTTACAAAAAACAAGTAATTTTATTGTAAGACACCATTGAACAACATTCAGCTTTTATACTAAATCTCTACGGGCAAAAGAAATAATAAATATATTAATCTTTATCTTTGCCTTGAGATGAGGAAACATGTTGTGTGAAGATTTGGTTTGTGTCACAAAAAGACAAAGAACAAACCATGCTACTTTGGTCAAGTGGAACAATGCAAGTAGATCAAGCAACGGTCAAGATTGAGCTCCTCAGCCAACGGTGGAGATTCAACAACCAGTTTATAAATACAAGAGTGCTGGAAAAAACAAGTGGAAGAGCCAAGTGGAATAGAAGGGAATCAAGATTCTCACGAAGACGGTCGGCCAACTGATTCCCCTTCACCACTTTGGTTCTCAACCCACTCATTTAATGCTCTTAGACTAGCTCAAATTCATACAAACCTATAGAGCTTAGATTAGTTGGTAATTTAGTTTTCACCCATGTAAACTAGACTAGTGTCTAGACATTCTGGAAGACTTTGTGTTCAAATCCAGAAGGTGAGAAGGGCAAGCACATGAGTAGCTTCTGGAAAGTCAATGTCATTAATGAAAAACCTTGGAGGACTGGGTAGCTTGGAATGGTGTTCAAATTCCTTGTGAAAAACCTCACAATCTATGTCTGGGCTAAAGATAGATTGAGCACTAAATGTAATGGGATATTCATTTAGTGGAAATCCATATGAAATTGGTTGGGACTGGATGTAGGAGGATTACACTATTTACACCACCTCTGAACAAGGATATATCTTGTGTCACCTTTTATGTTCAGCTCCCAATACACACTACAGTTCTCACTCACCTTCACAACTACACAGCAAAACAGCTTGCTCACAAAAACTGTTCAATGAACTCTCCAGTTCATTGTGAATCAACTCCTTGTTTCTATTCATCAAAGTGATCTATTTCTATAGGTCTAAATCATTCATGCTTATGTGTTAAGACATGTTCTAAAAGTCTACCAATGTGTTAGAATATAGTTCATTGCTATTGATGGATAGTGTACTTGGGGGTAGCCTATCTGAGGGATACCCCAAGGGGTATCTAGAGAGAAGTCAAAACAATAAGTAAGAGAGAGAGTGAGAATGTAATAAATGAAGTCATTTTAGGTTACAGGGGGGAAAGAGGTGATATTTATAGCAGCCATAAATGCTAGGCGCATTAAATGCGAGTACACGTGTCAAGTAACCAATGGTGGAGGGTCACTCTAGCCACGGTGGCGCCAACAATGCATGTGGTGCCGCATTAAATGCGGTGCTTGGACGTGACATCGCATTTAATGTGGTGGTTGTCTGTCTTCAGATGGAATCTTCGCATAATGTAGACCCTTCGGTGTGTGTCTCGAAGGCACCCTCAGGCCGAAGGCTACTGTTTTGGCCAGAATCTCCCAGCAGCTTCGTGGGTCCAAGAGCAGTTGTCTCCTGGAGTTTCATGCCCTCGGCCATTGTGCCGAAGGTACCTATATGCGTATCCTGGGCTTGCGGGAGCGTGGGCCGCTGTATCCGGGCTCCGTGTTCTTAACGAGCCCATTGGGCTTGTTTAGGGGTAGTAGGATTATGTGTGCTGGGGGTTCTTGGGCCATATACTCCATCATCTATATCTTAACCTTTGAAGCAGCAACCTCATTTGGCAGGCTGCTCCTATTGGACTTGGCAGCCAGCTCCTTCAGGTTTTGGAAGTCTGCTCCTTGAGTCATCTGATTCTGGAAAACACATTTACATCATGTTTCATCCATCTCCTCACAACTAAAAGAGTCACAATCTTTGTTACTATAAAGTGTCACACTCTTGAGGTCAAGACTTCCGCTGCAGGTTTCAATATCTCCCAAAAGATACTGGAACTCATTCTGTTAGAGGAAAAAGAGTTGAAAAATGAAAAGATTTAAAAGTCTATTCATCCCCCCTAGACTTTTACCTCACTTGGGACCATCAGTTTGGTTTGTTTATTTACGGTTAAATATTTATTAATTTAAAATTATATTTTTTATGTGGCAACGGTTTACGATGAAACACAGGAATAATTAGTGTTAACTAACAATATACCAAAATTTCACTTATATAATATCATCAATTCTTATATCGATTTTTCTAAAAACTTCTAGAACCGAGTCAACTTTAGATTAATGGTTCTTCAAATGGTTCCTAATTTTATTTCAAGAATTGAACCTGCCTCAACCCCTACATTTTTCTTCATAAGGCGGTGTATAAAAAAATTAAGTTTACCTTGTTGATAGTATTAATGTAGAATCTCCTAAATCAACTTTTTTTAATCGTAAAATGTTAAAAAAAAATCAGATTTTTATTTTCAAATCTTACATATGGAGACCATCCTAGTACTCACCTCCCGACCCGGCCAGTAGTAGTCCAGGACCTGTTGGTCGGTTTGTTATCTGGAGTAAATAATTAGTCAAATCTGGTGTTATTCTGCAATCAAATGTATTCGTACTTGTGACGAGTAGTAGCCAACAGATAAGTCCACAGAAATTTTTTGTGAGGATAGAGACAATTGCAGAGAATTAATATACTAAGAATGAGTTACAAGTCCTGTAACACTTGAAATTTAATATAAACGGATTAATAGTACTACTCATACCAACAGAGGTGCATCTCCTTTTAAGGGAGCTCATCACCCAAGAACTCCAAAGTTAAGCGTGCTTGCACGGGAGTAGTCTTGGGATGGGTAACCCCTGGGAAGTTTCTCAGGGCGCGCATGAGTGAGGACAAAGTGCGCGGTAAAGGCTCGTGGTGGTTTGTGGGGACAGTACTATTGGTCCGGAGTAACTACCTCGGGTCCTGCGGGGCCGGGGTGTTACAGGTGGTATCAGAGCAACCCTGCGACAGTGTGCTGATCCGTTGGATATCGGGCGGGCACTTAGCGGGGCAAGATTCTGGGGTTTGATTGAGATTGGTTTAAGGGCGCAACGAGGACGTTGCGATCCTAAGTGGGGGTGATTGTAACACTTGAAATTTAATATAAACGGATTAATAGTACTACTCATACCAACAGAGGTGCATCTCCTTTTAAGGGAGCTCATCACCCAAGAACTCCAAAGTTAAGCGTGCTTGCACGGGAGTAGTCTTGGGATGGGTAACCCCCTGGGAAGTTTCTCAGGGCGCGCATGAGTGAGGACAAAGTGCGCGGTAAAGGCTCGTGGTGGTTTGTGGGGACAGTACTATTGGTCTGGAGTAACTACCTCGGGTCCTGCGGGGCCGGGGTGTTACAAGTCCACGATAATCAATGATTTTAGAAGTCAATAAAAATGAACAACATCTTGAATACGCCTAGACTTTTACAGACTTTTAAAGTCTACATTGAATACATTTATACTTTTTTAGACTTTTAAAAGTCTATATTGAATACACCTAGACTTTTTAGACTTTTTTTTATCATAAAAACAAACCGCTTATTTTAATATCGTTAAGATTCAGATCGTTACAACAAACTCACAAAGACCAACCCTGACAACAACTATCTCTAACCAACTAGCACTATCAACCATACGGCTAGTCGGCTAGACACAAAGACGATCACCCCTGAAAGAGCAATACGAATCGCTAACCACCAAGCGAGTTTGACCCAATAATCACTGGTAATATAGATCCTTTTAACGATATAATATCTAGCAGAATTGTCATTCCTTATTGTAGACGTAAAACTAAGGACATCGACAAAAAATTGAGCAACATAAACAAAATTAACGTGAAAGTAAGGCCATAAAAAATAAAACAGATGACAAATACTGCAAGCTCCTTCCTGCCAGTATTCTTGAAGTATCATCTTCCAAACCCTATCACCTCGATCGCTCCAGGGCGGCGGTTCAGGAGGGGGCGGTCTGCCAATCTATCTTCTCTCATGCTCAGAACTCGATTCAGGAATTGCTAAACAATTTTCCAATTGAAAGTATCAATCACAGACCTCCATATTCGATCCATAGCAACACATCCAGAAACATCAATCATAGAGAAGCAGATCATGGAAAGGCAGAATGTGAAAACAAATGTCCACCCACTTACGCTCCAAATCATTCATCGGACAAGAAACGACGCAAGCCGCCTGCCGGAAAAACAAACCCTAGACAAAAGCTAGGAAGAAGACCACTTTTACAAAGACAATCATTTCAAGATCACCTTCATTGCTCTTGATTGGAAAAAGGACCCGTTCACGCCGCAACCAAGCGGAAAAATCAAGCCCGCCACGTATCAAGAGGAGACGACCCAGTGTGGTAGGTTGTCGACGGCGACGCTCTGCAGCAGCTCCGGCGATCTCCTTCTATAGTGATGCCCGGCCGGAAATCTGCATCATTCTTCCCTCTCCAGCAACGTTTCTAGCGCGCACGGACGCACGGTTCACCCAAATATAAAGTTAGACTTTTTAGATTTTTAAAATTTTACTGATACAAATACACCTCCATTAATTCTCACTCCGTATTTGTTTCTTCTTGTTTGTTTCTATATACCCGACCCGACAGAGCACCATCCACGCAGACCCATACCCTACTGCAATTGACCGAATACAACCAAACCGATTCCTCCCGTTTCTAATTAGGTGAAACAAATATGCTAGGGAGCTTGTTCGGCGATCTCCCACCGCCGTCTTCCTCTGCCGAGCCAGATGAGAAGTCCGCCGGCGGCAATGTTTGGTCGAGCAGCACAGCGAAGATGGCTCCATCCGCCCTCCGCAAATCCTTCGCACCCTCCCAGACTATTATTCGACCTCAAACCCTACTCAAGCCTAAACTCCCCAAACCTGCCCTTCATCAGACCAGTGAGGATACCAACCCCAATCCTAATTCCCACCATTCAGCATCGTTTCATCCGGCGTTGGTTGCGATTACGAGCACTGTCATAGACGAATATGATCCTGCCCGGCCAAATGACTACGAGGAATACAGGAGGGAGAAGAAGAGGAAGCAGATGGAGGCAGAATTAAGGGAAAGGGAGAGGAGGGAGATGGAAAGGGAGAAAGAGAAAGAGAAGGAGAAGGAGAGGGAGAGGGAGCAGGAGTTGAACCTCTCAGGCGAGGAGGCATGGCGGCGAAGAGCTTTCATAAATGGTGGAGGTGGCAATGTACCGAGGTCACCATCACCTCCTAGTAAGGGAGAGTTTAATATCGGGGGCAGATCCGATACTGCTGGCTTGGGGTTAGGAATGGGGGCAGAGGGAAAGATGACTATGACGGCTGCACAGAGGATGATGGCCAAGATGGGGTGGAAAGAAGGTCAGGGACTTGGCAAGCAAGAACAGGGGATTACTACTCCTTTGATGGCTAAGAAGACTGATAAGAGAGGTGGAGTGATTGTAGCTAGTGAGGAGGTTAAACAGCCAGAGAAGAAGGTTAAGAGTGTTAATTTCAATATGCCTCCAACTAGGGTTGTACTTCTGAGGAACATGGTATGTTTCCATCCACATTTTTTAAAATTATGTGTTATCTAAGTTCAAACAAATATGCAATCTGTTAGTGTTTTATATATAAATTCTATTTATATGATTTATGTGCAAGTAAAGTCTACTTTTTTCATGGGTTTTTCTACTTTTTACACCTCAGGGGCATATATTGTAACGTGGGGGAAAATTTTGTAATGGCTTGTTTAAAGTTTACTTTTCTCATTTGATGGTTATTTGATCGAGACTCAGAGATTTAGGAAACTTCAGAATATAAAAAATATCTAAATATGATGACGAACGATACTAAGTAATCCTTACTTTTTTGGATGTCATATATGTATGTAATGTAATTGTATGCATAAATATAATTACATATTCTACATAAGAGGTGTATGAATAGCAGTCACCACACTATCCGCTATAGCGCTTCTGTGGTAGACCACTCCGCTATTCGGGATTGACAACACCTCTTTTTATACAGCAACGGTATAAAAAAGACATCAGTCTTGAAATCCTAAATCTCACGTGGCACTCTTCTTGTCTTTTAAATCTCTTAAATTATCCCACTGCAAAGCAAGGTCAAGATTATCTCCAATAAGCTTTTGTAAGCTCCTGACTGAGACTTAGAAGAGCAGAAATTATAAGAAGAGTTGGAGAAAACATAGTTGAATGCTGAGTTGCGCCCCAGTCATTGAACAACCAGAGAAGAAACGAGATACTACCTTTTTTAAATATTTGCAACATTAGAAATTTAACATGCACTCTACTTTGACTGCATTTTATTTACTAATGCATTAGATTTTTTTTTAAAATTATTGTTAAATTCTTCTCATTTAAAATTTTCAAAATGTGATTATTTTATTTTTTAAGAATATAAATTAAATATACTAATGGTCAAAGTTGTGGCTTGGAAAACGTGAAAGTGGAAGTGTTGCAACTAAAAAAAGAACGGAGGGAGTGTTTTTTAAGGTAGGGATGAGTTTTATGACTTAGGGTTTTAATATTCTTACTTTTATTTTACCCTAGTTTACCCCTTTAAAACTGATAAAAACCAAAAATATCCCAAAACATCTTGTGCAGACCATCCAAATTTCAGTAGCACCGCTATAGTGTCCGCAACTACGCTGTTTCCCTGCTATAGCAGCTGCTATTACCACAACAGCCAATTGCTCCGCTACGGAGTCTTTTTGCGCCAGGTTACTGCTCCACTGCTATAGCGCCTCTATTGGGCGCTAATTAAATCACTATAAATAGGGCTATTGACCCCTTCAATAATATGACTTACAATATAAATCGTAGTGAGCATATCAGACATAATTATTTGTCATTAAATACTGCCATGATCAGAGAGTGAAAATTGGTACAGTAACTATTTGTCATTAAATACTGCCATGATTTATACAGAGTATCATTTTCTTCAAGCCTCACCTCCTCTTTGCCTAAGTTCGTTTGCTTGTCCGGTATCATGACGACTTAAACCAGGGGCGGAGCCAGCACATCAAAGAAGGCTGGGCCGTGTTCAGAAAGAGTGTTTTAACCAATTAAACTCGACTTTTATTTGACCAGAGTTTTAGTTGGTAAGCACGATATTAAATATAGTCGTCTCACTTCATTCCTTCTGTCTAAAGGCCAATAAGATGTTTCTTCTTTTTCCTGATCTCTTTCAAAATCAACCAGATTAGAAGATGAATGATTTACAATATTAGAAATATTTTGGTCCGTTTGTGCTCGCTAGTGCCTTCTCTTTGTATACTACTAGCGGTAGTAGTTGATCTAAAGAAAGAATACAAAGTTTTTTGGAGAGCCAAAAAGAATGCAAAGTTGCTTTAACTTTGTTTGAATGAGAATGTTGAGTGCCTATAATCTCTTCTATCAAATCGAAATATTTTACAAAAATCATTACACATTATTGAATTGAAATTAAATGAAATAACAATTTAATACTCCGTATGAAAAGAATAATGTTGCAGTTAACAAATATAAACCGATCACATACTTTGTTGTATAACGTACTCCGTATAAATTATGGTTAGAAATTGACAATATAGTACACAAAAAATAATAAGAATTCTTACAACTTACGAAGGAATAGACTAAACATAGATTTCATAATCCACATATTAGAGTTATCTAGCCTTAATTCATTAATGCATGCGTTTGGTTGCTTGACTAAGAAAAGGCCTAAGGGTCAATTTTAACAGGATTGGTCAATGTTTGATTGGTTGACTAAGGATTATGGCCCAAGTGTCGATTTTAAAATTTTGGTTTTGATTATTTTCTCCCTTTCTTTCTTTTACAGTCTACTTCCGCATATCCCCTTTTCCGATCAGAAGAAAGACTACCATGCACGGGGACACTGGGCCGACTTTTTTTCCACTGACCCTCTTCTATTTTTTATTTATTTTATAATATACCCTAACTAACACTACCCCAATCTTACCCTGGGCCACGGCCCAGTGAGGCCCTCCCCTCCCTCCGCCAGTTTAAGTCTTAAACTCTGTATGTGTGTGTGTAAGAGAGAGAGAGAGATAGAGAGGCCTGAAACCATTTTCTTGTCTTCTTTCTCTTGGAATGGTTGTCATTGTAGATTACTCGTATGTTACACTCTTTTTTCTTCATAAAACCAGGTCCTGTTAATTCTGATTCTGATGTGGCTGCATAGTAATATAACTAGCCTATAATTTTTCTATCATCACCATAGTGTGTGGCGGTTCTTCTTGCAGGTGGGACCTGGTGAAGTGGATGACGATCTTGAGGGAGAGGTGGCTGAAGAATGTACCAAATTCGGGACAGTGACACGTGTACTTATATTTGAGATAACGGAATCAAACTTCCCTCATGATGAAGCAGTCAGAATATTCATTCAGTTTGAGAGGGCAGAGCAAGCAACAAAAGCACTTATTGAACTTGATGGGCGTTTTTTTGGAGGAAGGATTGTTCGTGCGGGCTTCTACGATGAAGAGCGGTTTGGTAAAAATGATTTGGCCCCTTTGCCTGGAGAAATTCCTGGTTTTTGATAAAAGTTCAGCTTTGGCAAAATGAAAAGTTTTGGCCACTTATATATTCTACGCATTTGTGCTATCTGTATTCTATGAGCTTCTTACCAACAATGTGGCATAAGTTGCATATCCTATGTCTGTTTGAAGTAAAGAAAAGATTAAGTGGCAGAGTGATAGGTTATGTAAAAGTTCAGTGAAACCCTCCTTTGATTAAGGGGTCGATCCAGTTCTGAAACCAATCAGATAAAGCACTTGGAAAAGGTGTTTTTTAATGGAATAGGATTATATGAGTGGGCAATTCGGTTTCGGTTCGGGTTGGGAGAATTTGTACAATTGTACCAAACAAAACCATTTGTGTTTCAGTTCGGTTTCGGTTCGGTTTGAAGTTCGGTTTACCAAAGTGAAAAGTATTACATTTAATTTAGTTTGTTTTGATTCATTTTCTTATGTTTATTATTTTATTTGATCAAGTTCTATACTTTAAAATTAGAAAATCAAAGTAGTAGTCCATCTCATCTTCTTTTATTGATTATTTAAATAAAATGTAAAAGAAATAAAAAATAGAAAAAGAAACAATAAAATATTATAAATTAAAACTTTTAACATCTTTTTTATCACTAGAAAAAGATTCATTTCTCACCAAAAAAAATAAGATTATAGTTGATTAAGATTTATAATATCACTTAAAATATTCTAAAAAAACTAAAGGAATTGGTGATACAAATGTTGTAATATTAACAATTTTATTCAAATGAATCATGTAAAAAAATATAAATGTAATTTGCTATTGTTATCGCCAAAAATAACAAACACAAATATGTTATACTCCCTCCGTCCCGTTATGATTGTTCCATTTTACCATTTTGGTCTGTCCCACTAACAATCTAAGATTGTCTCATATCTTATTTGGTAGAGTTTGTGTGGTTCTAAATCATTCCTACTTTATTCTTACTTTATCAATTCAATATCAACCACATAAACCCACTTTTATTAATAACCGTGTCACCTTCTCTTGTTCTAAACTTAGGGGGACGGAGGTAATATTAGCTAACTTTATCATAATGAATGTAGTAAATGTGTAAAAGTTAAAATGATATATGTTAAACATGTATTTTTCATCTCTAAATTATGTATTCATATCTTAAAAATGAAGAATGAAGATAAATACAAAGTGTGTGTGTGGGGTACACACATGTGAAACCATGGCGTTTAAAAATTGAACTATTCTGATCAAGTAATAATCATATCCTTTCTTCATTAAAAAAATCATAATTACAGTCGTTTTAATAAGAGTATACTAATTACCTTTTTTACATTAATATAGGCATCGATCTTTTGGCTACACCCTAGCTACTACATTGGGTGCAATAGCTGCAATAAACGAGTTCACTCAACTGAAGGAGTCCATTTTCCGTGTCTAAGTTGTGGTTATAAAAATGCCTTATCTGCAAAAAGGTAATTTATATAAGATCAATGAAAGCTGCTATGACTTATAACATTCACATTTTCCATTAAACTTTTTATTCGAAGCACACAACCACAAATAATAGTGTTATTAAGTTCAAAAATGACATTTCATGCAAAGATCACAAGTGTTCAAGTTTAGGAATCAAATACTCAAACCCTACTTATCTCGAGGGTTTACTATTTTTCGACTTCAATAATGAAACGAATATAAGGAGTAAGACTATTAAGATCAGGCTCTATTTTGGAACAGTTTTTTGAAAGGGGTTCGTTTTTGGGATGAGGGTAGTGTAATTTTAAAATACTCATTAGTAAACTGTTTATAGCAAGCGTATCAAGAAAGTTTTTTCCAACTTCAGTACAATCTTTTTATTTAGTAGAATGGATGTTGTGATATTCAGGAATTTCAGCAGATCAAAAATCCTTTTTCGCACGTACTCATACTCTTCATTGTGTCGTCCTATAAATTTGTAATGATCAATTTTATGTTCAATGTCATCCAACTCCTTAAACTTTTCCCTCCTAACAATCATACACCTCATAATCCATTAATCCAAGATTTATAAAAAAAAAACAAGAAAAGTATTTCAAAACATGAATAGAAAATAAAAAAACACTAGTTTAATTAGTAAAAAGTTTGCATTCACTGAAAAAGATTTAAGTCTCACTTTTCAAGTTTTTCAATACACCTCTATAAATTTGAAATAAAAACAGTAAAAGCATTTAAAAATATGAATAAAAAATCAGAACACAAAAATTTCAAAACTGTAAATAGAAAGTACTTATATTTGTTATAAATCCAGAATACAAAATACAGCAAATACAACAAAAGATTATTCTAGGGAATACTATCAAATATTGAAAAAGTCAATTAAGTCCTCGCACTAAATAACAGCCAATTAAACCCACCAACTTTAGAAAAATAATCAAATTTAAAATCTAGCGGGTAAATGTCCAGTTACCCAATTAGTGAAGTGATTTGGCCATCCAAGTTTTATTTTTCCATTTCCTTTTCCTTTTTCTTTTTCCTGTTACTACGTATAGTCATGGATTTGGTCCAGTTCGGTTCCGGGCCCGAGACCGGCCGGTCCCAATTCTAAAATAGTGAAGCCCACTATTGTGCTGGTTCTGGTCCGGGTACCCAGGTGGGTCACGGGTCAGCCGGTCTGGTCCCAAACTCTTCAGCCTGTCCCGCCTTGAAGCCGATCCGATTGCTGGGCATGCACCGGTACCGAGTAACCGTTCCCGGGCTGGTCTCAAACAGTACTGATCTCAGACTTGTCCGGTCGGTCCGGACCCAATTCAACACTAGCTGCGTACACTTGAGGTGTAGAATTTTGCCAAATTTAGAGCTCCTCCACTGAGACGCTATCCTCTCAGAAGGTGTTCCAGATGTACACCGCAATTCAAAGCTCTTCAGCCAAGTTGCCATCCTCACCTGAGGTGTAGAAGATGTCCGCTGGATTCTTTACTTCGTCCGTCAAGCCGACATCCTATCCTTGCCGTTGTCTGCAGCCTTTCCGAGCACCAATAACGTCACAATAGGAAGGTGAAGATCTTTGCCGTCCAAGCTGCCCTCTTTGTTGGAGTTCCTCACTTGAAGCACAATGTGGTAGGTTGAAGGAGGGGGGGGGGGGGGGGGGGGGAGTTCGGTGCATGGGAAGAAGAGCTAGACAGCTAGTGAAGAGAGATGAGAAGAAGGAAAGAAAAATTCAAGATAAAGAACCTAGTTAGCTTTTTTTCGTTTAAAACACGTTTTAAACACGTGCCGTTTTTTTTTAACAAAAAACGCATTTAAAACGAAAAATAATGTTTGTCCGTTTGAAAAGGGAAAAAACTCCTACTTCCCGTATAAAACGTATTTTTTCCGTATTTTACAAAATACATAAACATGAACTGATCAATTGAATTAGTGCATTAATTGCATAGAAGATCAAAAATAGCTTAAAAGAAAAAGGGAAAACCTCCTCCTCGTGACCCCATGTTTTTGTATTGTTACAATGAAATTAATCATCGCTAAAAATTATTTGCATGGTGGCTAAAGCTAGCTTCCTAAAAGACCAAAACTTGAAATAACATTGGATTTATGATGTTTTTCCAATCAATCATATCAAAATTAAGGTTTTCTAAACCTGACATATCTACTGTATAAACTTTTATACATAAACATTAATAAGAATAGCAATAGCAGTCGCACAATGTACTTTTCTCATATGTCATTCATCATTTTGATAAAAATCATGAGTTTGACTTGAGTGTTATTTGATGATCATATAAAAACAATGATTTTAACTTAGTCTCATTCTATTGTTATTATTCCTCATTTTTTGACTTTATTTTGGAAAATTATGTCTTGGACTTAATTACTATTTTTTTTTTCCATCAACTTATGAAATTACAAATTATTCTTTTATGTGGTAATGAGATTTTTTACTTGAATATGTGTATGCTTTTATCAGTTTTTACTATATATATTTTATTTTGTGAAGTATATACTTTAAATATTCAAAATAATACCCGTATTTTTTGTTTGAGTTTTTTTAACATATACTATATTATACACGTATATACGTATTCACACGTTTTTTAAAAAGTCAACGTATTTTTCAACGGATTTTTGACCGTCTTTTTCATTCTTGTTACCGAATAAAACATGTACGTATTAAACCTCATTTAATTCCCGTACCGTATTTAACTAACTATGATGAAGAACCGGGGAAGGGGTTCGTATGTCCAGGAGGCCGGGAGAAACAGGGGAGGCCCCGGGGCAGCAGGGGCGACCGGCCTATGTCTAAAAAAAAATGAAAAGAAATTAGGCCCAATATTTATGTTTTATATTAAGGCCAAGTAGGTTTAGATTTTGAGCCTATTCATTATTTTCATGTAGCCATAAGGCCCAATATGAAGAATAGTAAACAAATAGTAACTCCTACTTGAACAAATATGTTATTCTACTTGCACCACCTCTTAAATTCCCAATCTATGTTTTTTACTTACAACATTAATACATTATTGGTTACTAGATATGATAACTTTTTATAATCGAATTTAGACTTTTTGTTGTTGATTTACTTATTGATTATTGTCTTGTTGACTCGTTAAGACATGAAATTGTGAATTTGTTCCTATTGTTATTTGATCTTTGGAGCATTAAATACGGAATATCATTTTATCAAATAGTGAAACTATGAATTGTTTTAGTTTTTCTAGTTAAAAAAGGTTATGAAATTGAATTATGATTTAGTGATAGTATTAAAATTAAAATTAAAATTAAAATTTTAGTTTTTCCTCAAATATATACTCCCTCCGGTTCTGATTCTTTTTTACACTCACTATTCATTGGTCAAGTCACTCTTAATCTTTTACTTTATATATCAAATTTTTATCGAATTTAAATTTTTTTTAATCAGGCTTTGTAGCGATTTCAATGTAGTTCTGCTGAATATGTAAATTTTATTTACTAAAAATAATCTGAGTGTGAACAGGGATCGAGTTGCTTTATTGTCAGTCAAGCATTTTTTTCCAAGTGTAAAGGGGAATCAGAACCGGGGGAGTATAATTTAAGTAATTTTAAAGTGTAACAAGATTAGATGGATCTGTATGAGATATAGTGAAAAGAGAGGAAGGGTAGAGTAATTTTTTTTTTTAAATTAGGCTTGTTATAGCTAGGTCGCTCGCCCCGAGGCCTTGACATCGCCAGGTCCAGTCGTGGAGAGAAAGAGAGAAGAAGAAACAGTGGTGACTGGTGAGGCAGAAGAAAAAAGAAAAAAAAAGAAAGAAAATAAAAATAAAAATAAAAATAAAAAAGAAAGAAATAGGTAGATTGCCACATCGTCTACATAACCGGATAACTGGAACATTACCGAATAGATTACAAATTTGACTGTTTTTGTATAATCGGTGGTATCATTGGGTGATTTTTTAGTTTGAAGGTTAAATTGACTTTTTCGATATACTATGAGGACTTAGGATATTT